AATCAACGAACAAATTGTTATATCGTGCACACAATTTACTTAAAATGAGGGAACGATTTAGTAAGTTGTACACACGATTTAGTAAAATGAGGGAACAAATTATATTATATATAATAATATAATAAATTATATTATATTATAACTTTACAAATTACTCATTTTTCCTGCATGTCATGTGTGGGGCTCCGTACATAAGCCACTTTAAGCATAAAAATATCCACTTTGATTACGGTGTGGTTGTCTTAGATGAATAGTGTTTATGACAAGTGAAATGTGATAAAAATGAGATTTTCCCCGGTTGTTGTTTTAGAACATTAAGCCCGCTCCACTGCACTACCTTTGCGTTCACGTCTCGTGTCTTTTGCAGTGTCTCGAAGCACTGCCTTTTAGAATGTCCTGCGCCACTGCTTTAGACCGGAAAAATTTGAATACAAAAACTGTCATTATGTAATCCGTAAAGATGCATTTCTCTCTAAAAGTGCGTCCAATGAGGAGTTGTTAGGATCGTCAACTTCATCTATGTGACATTGACTCAGAAAACACTAGTTTATTAATATATTAAATATTATTATATTAATATTATATATTAAAAAAATATATTTTTTTCTTTTTTTTGGGCCGCTGTGCCAAGATCGAGCGAGCGCTACTCAGCGCCATTCTCGCGAGAGCGCATTTTTGCACGCGGATACTGCTCTGTGCGCTCGCGGGGTACAAATGCTCCCTCGCGAGGATGGTTTTCCTCGCGCGGATACTGTTCTGTGCGCTCATATCATGTGCGCGCGTCTTGTTTTATATGCGCGAGATTTGACACTATTTAAACGCCATAGGTATTCGAGATAGTGTGGATTTAGTGTGCTTTAAGGGCACTGCGCTCTGGCGTTTTTAAGATCTGGGACAGTCTTGCGCACTTACTTCCTGTCGCGCGCACGCGCTCTCAAGTGGCCAAGACCGCAAGTGTGGGTATTTGGACAAGGCTATCGTTACTCCTTACAATATATCACGTGCTCCGAGACGCAGAAGCGGTGTATGATTCAAGAACGAACTGATTCTTTTCAATGAACCTTTTAAATCGGTTCGCAAATCGCACCAAACGATTCATTCACGAATTACAATTAGCCGATTGCAGCTGTTCTCCAGTCGACAACTCACTGATTCAAATGAACCGTTTAGTGCGAGTCTCCAGTGAACTGAATTCACAAATAAGAACCGTGCGCGCGACCGATGCTGCTAAAAGTAAGTTACTAATGTCGAATTTTAGGATTAATTATTGTAACTGAAAATCATATTTAGGTTAAAACTGTCAGTTGTTTGTGAACTAAATCTGCTGTAAAGGGTGATCTGTTTAAGCCCACTGAAATGCTTGAATGCAGACACATCAACATCAGTGTCTCTGTTTTAGGTTAAAAAAAAACGAAACATTAAAATAACACAGATTAAAATAACTCATGCACGTTCATATTCCCCGCTGCCGTAACGTTAACCGTTTTATTAAAATGCTACGCATTTAGCCTATGTGACGTCTGATTTTATATTGTTTATCAACAGTATAAATTGTTATATTGCTTGGATTAACAATCCGAGTAGACAGATATGAATGTTTATTCATCATAACCATACTGAAAATAAGTAAATATTGTTAGCTGATGCTAACTGGCTAGCTAACAAGCTTGCTGGTGCTAAGTTGAGGTAATTTTTAGATATAAAGTCCAAATATTTTTATTCAACCACCTAGATAGATTACA